CCACGCCCAAGCCGCATGATAAAACTCCACATGAGTTCTGGTGTTTCTCACCGCCACCGCCAGTCACCGGCAACAGCAGGCTAAAACTCCCTACCACCAGCTCTACACTCCTCTCACCAATGAAAACAACTGGACTGTGCTCCACAGCACTGCCAACATCCCCAGTTATGGAGAACTCCGGATTGGGACTTGGCACCCAGGGGATTGCTGGAGCTGAAGGAGCTGGCCCTCCCCTCTGTCACCAGCCGTGGGAGGAAGGTAAAGCTAAACCTTGCCAAGGCAAGAGCTGCTGGCGGGGGTGGGTGAGGCCACAGGGTGAACCTGGCTGGAAGTTGTTTGTAAATCCCCCAAAAGAGGGAGGGGAGGAAGTTCTGCTGCTGTCCAGGTTGATTTTATAATAAGAGAAGACCTGGGTATGTTTTTATTACACAGTCTTTCCTAACAAGACTGATTTTTGATTGCATCACTGTTAGTCTCAAACTCATTGCTTAATTCATTTGTTAAGTCCCCATAATTCAAAATTATGTTTATGAGTTGCTAATATCACCATCCTGAGTAATTCCCTTTGGAGCAATTTCCATTTTGACAATTTAGGAAAAAAGTGTTGTCTTTTGGGTTTACCTGAATGAAATTTAGGTGTAGGCATCAGGGGAGGGTTAATTTGAAAATGTGCAATGAAAGAGAAGCACATTTCTGTACATAACAGAAATGAAGGGAAAACATTGAAAAGTGTTGAGGAGCTGAGGGTGTGTGAGTCAGGGAATTCCAGACCAGAAAGATTGTTTTGTATTCCAGTTGAATTAGAACTGGTCCTTTGTGAAGGATCTGTGAGAATTTTGAAATATTGCAATAAGGCCCAAGGAAAAATAAATAAAACAGAAAGCTTTAATTAAAGGAGAAGAGAAAGAATGGCAAAACATCCATTAACTGCTTTGAAAATGCCTTTGTAACTGTTTTCAATTGTAGGAATGGAAATATTTGATTGACTGTATGGTTCAATGTTCAAAAAGAATAATTTTTATTAGTATAAGCAGAGCAGTTTGCAAAAATCATTGTAGTAAACTGAATACCACTGTAGAACATAATTTCTCACCCAAAAATGCAATTGAATTGAGAGTAAAGTAAAATTTTACACAGGCAAGAAAAAATGTATAGAATAGGTGGTGGCTGGCTCAACTGGAAGTAACTGTGAAACGGATCTGTGAGATGGAAACCTATCAAACAGATCCAACCTAGAAATGAGAAATTTCTTGGCAGAATAAGTAGAGAAATGGGATGCCTTCAGAAATTGTGGATTTATAATCACTGGAGGTTATTAAGAAGAAATTTGTTCATAATAGTATAAGGTCTCATCTCATGCTTCATCAGGGTTTGAACTAGAAAACCTTCAAGGTCCCTTCCAACTCTGTTATTCTTTATAAATCTCTCAACTCACTGTTACCCAGAGAATAGTGATAAACAATATTTGGAAATGTACGATATGCAACTTCCTAGGAAGATAACTAACTGAAAAGGAGGTGGATGATGTGGGGTATAAAGCGACATTTGATAACATGAAGGTGGATTCTAGAGCAAACTACATGTTATTGCCTCCTGAGATTCTAGATTTCACCACAGGAGACTTTCTTTGCAAAGGTAGATCAGCAATAATTCATACTCTGGGGTTTTTGGAATGTGCCAGGCTT